GGGGCGGGGGGGGATGATGCGGTGGACCAGGGGAGGGTCAAAGGCTTCCTACGCTCGGCGGACAGACCCGTGCTGGGTTGATGGGGGCCTCCTGTGGAATTCAGTTCTCGGCCAGAGATTCCCTACCTTCGACCTGGGGAGATATGTGGGAGGCTCAGCAAACCTGGCGGCCGCTCTTTGGGTTTGGCAAACTCGAGGTTTTTCCAGTGCCTTGTGTTCAGCGAAACCAAAAATGTGTTTGGCTAGAAACGCTTCTCTAATTTTTAAACCCCTGTGCATTTTTTACGTAAATTTGATCCACATGGTTTTGATTTATTTTTATTTAACTCATCAAGTCAAATTAGGAGCTACAATGATGAATGGGAACAATGCTGATTTCCAAGAAGATTTTTGAGCCTTTTTTCTTAGAACTAAATCACATTCCAACCCCCCCCTCCACACACATACCCAACTTCCTTGCGACTGTTAAAACTACCAGCCTGAGCTGAGTTTGAAATTTAGAACCCAAATGTGAAATAAAGATCCATGCTTGGCAAAGATGAAGCATAGCAGGGGAATGTTCTTAGGAAGTCACGGTTAGAAAGCCAGGGTAGGCTTCGGGTGCAGGTGGGGGAATAAAGGCAGTAAGGGAGCCAGTTATTCCTTATTAGATGGTTTAAATAAATTTACCCGGCTTTGTGGGCTCCCAAGAGAAGCCCCCTAGCTGTTTCTCCAGGGTCTGACTTTATCACTGCCACCCAGGGAAAAGGAGTTTCTGCCCCAAGACCGGCGAGATGGGTACAATCTTTTCTTCTGCACTCCTGCATCGGAGCTGATTCAAGCTGCTCCCCCCTCTTCCCTCGGACCTTCCTCCCCGTTTCCTGGCTCTGGTTAAGGCCTCTCCATCTGGAAGCATTTAGAATGTACAACAATTTTAATCTCGTGCAAAAGAAGCTTGAGATTTACACTACATACCCATTAAGCTAAATTATAGGTGCACAACCTCATTTTGCACAATTCTGTCTGGCCTAGGGTGACACACACAGAAGGCCAGTCCTGTCTTTCCCAATTACTTTTTCTACCACACCATCATTTTCCACAACTGCAGTCTGAGGCCGGCCGTATTTCTCTGAGGAACTCTGGCCACTAAGGTCCCAAGACAGAGGTACTCTCTTCAGAGCCCCTTGAAAGTACTCAGTGGGTCCCTTCAACACTATCCAAAAAGATTTCCTTGAACTCAGCTTCCCTCTCCTACAGAGCCTGATCGAATTGGACAAACTTGAGTACAAGGATCATCTTGTTAGTTAATAACTATACAACCATGGGGGGAGTTAATTTACTTCCTTGGATCTCAATTTCCTGGTCTGTAAAATGGGTATAAAAACCATACACACATCACAGAATTGTTGTGAGGATTAAATGAGATGCTGCACATAAAAAAAAAAAAAAAAAAAAGTATATCATCTGGCCCAGACTTCCAGACAGGTGACATGAAGTTTCTGATCAACCAGCTGGGATTTTTCATCAGTCCTCAGGGACTCTCCCATGCTGGCCCATGTTTTAAACCTACAGTCTCTTCTTGGGATCCGCAGGAGCACAGTGATTGGAAGATCTATAACCTAACTGCATAGAGATCATTCTTCTGAAAACCAAACCAAACTTCTCCCTTTATATAGAAAATGTGTGTGTGTGTGTGTGTGTGTGTGTGTGTGTGTGTGTGTGTGGGGGGGGGGTGGGGAGGGTGAGAAGGTTTTCACTCTCCTTTAAGGAGCAAAATGGTTATTAGTGTTTCTTGAGAAGCCCTCACCCCCCATATAGTCACACTTTACCTGTGTTCTTTGGAAACCAGAAAGGTGACAGTACCAAAAGTACTGGCCAAAAAGTTTGTTCGGGTTTCCCATACGATGTTACGGCAAAATCTGAACGGACTTTTTGGCCAGCCCGATATTTATTGGTTTTCTCTGGCCAGGAGGAGTTTCAGCAGTAATTCAGGGATCCTTCTGTTGGCCAGAATAGAGGGAGCAGGGATCCACCAACTTCCTGGGACCCTTGGACATTTTATATCATAAGGGTTCTTACCATGCAGAATTGCTATGAAGGCGAAAAGAGAGACATCTGCAGATGGTAATTATTATTTCCACCAAGCTGACCTCACTTGACATCCCGGGTGATATCAGGAAATGTGCGTATCTTCCACGCCTGCTATTTACTAGAGATTTCCCTCTCTTAACCTCTTAACCTCCTGTGGCTAGATCTATTTTAGATGTCAGCCTCAGCAATAAAGGACTCTAAAGGAACTAGCCCTGCTCATAGCCCTGCCAAAGGGGTAGGCCTGGGTGGCTGATGGTGCGCATCGCTGGCTCTGGAGTGGACACAGTCTACAGGCTGGGAAGTCACTTGTGACCTCGGAGAAAAGGTGAGTTGGGCCAATGAGATTCCTCTCTGGGAACGTGCAACTGGGGGAGTCAGAACCTGGCTGTCTGGTGGCAGAGACATATGGAGCATGGCTGGTCTCAGGGCTGCCTGGATTCCAGAGCCACCTTCGCTCCCATAAAGCCTGGCTCTTCAAGGGTTCTTCTTGTGGACCCCATAAATATCTCTTCCGACATTATTAAAATAAACACCTCCTTTTTTTGAGTCAGCATGAGTGGGTTTCTGTTTCCTCCAACAAAAAGAGCCTTCGCTACAAACACAGCACCCACCCTTGGGAAGAACATGCAGACGGAGCTATGTCTAAACATTCAGGGCATTTCCAGTGCGAGGCAGAGTTTCAATAGTTAATTACACAGTATGCAAATACCGCTGGTTCCCGACTCACCCCTCCCTGGCTCTCCTCTACTGTACAAATTGCAAACATTTCTCTCACTCTCCCAACCTCCTTTGCAGCTAGGGGTGGTCATGTGACACAGTTTTGGCCAATTAGATGCAAGTGAATGTCTACTGGGACAGATAGGCTGTCCCCTCCTTCCTGCCTTGCATGAAAATGTTATGCTTGGGGCTTCTGTCACCATCTTGCAACTATGAAGGAAAAAAAGCAGCAGAGGTGTCACCCCTGGCACATTGGAGGTGCTGCACCAACATGAACAGCCACCAAATTCCAGCCTCCATTGATATGTGAGAAAATATACCCCTAAACTACTATTACTTAGAGTTTTCTATCACTTAGAAGCAATATCTTTTGTAAATGATATACCTTGAAATAGAACTTGACATTGTTTCCTGTATTATAAGAAAAATGATTTTTTAAACCAAATATATGACAACTTGTTTTTCAGTTAACTTCTCTAGACATCAACTGAATAACATCAACTTTCTAGGCAATTAAAAATCTGAGAGGGGGGCTTCCCTGGTGGCGCAGTGGTTGAGAGTCCGCCTGCCGATGCAGGGGACGCGGGTTCGTGCCCCGGTCTGGGAGGATCCCACGTGCTGCGGAGCGGCTGGGCCCGTGAGCCATGGCCGCTGAGCCTGCGTGTCCGGAGCCTGTGCTCTGCAACGGGAGAGGCCACAGCAGTGAGAGGCCTGTGTACCACCAAAAAAAAAAAAAAAAAAAGCAAGTTCATTCTGGCTGGTGTAGGGGAACAAAGATCAGATTTTTTTTTTTTTAAGTTAGACCAAATTATAACAAGCCTTGAATGCCAAGTGAAGGAGTCTGCGCTTTAGTCTCTGAGCCTTGGGGTGTTGTTGAAGGTTTCTGAACAAACAGGTGTCAGAGTGGTTGTTTAGGAAAACTGGCCTGATGGCAATATGTGGGCTGGATTGAGAAGGCAAGGAATGCCACGAGGGGCTGTGCAGCCGTCTGGGTGGGAGGCCATGAGGGAAGAACCAGCACAGTCCAAGTGAGAATGGAGTGGAGAAAAGAAACAGACATGAGAGACACTGCAGAAGTACACGTGACACAAGTTGGCTACTGTCTGCATCTGGGGTGTGAGTCATGGGAAGAATAATGTAGAAAACATGTTCTTGGACCAAAGAGAAACAAAAACCTCATGCGGTACCTCTGGAGCTGAAGACAGGAATGGTTTTATGTAGATGTTGGAGTCATGCACCTTGAGGTCATGGTCCCCAAGTCCCCTGGTCACTCCAATAGTCGCCATTACTCGGGCCTAGGAGTATAAGCAGAGGGTCGTCAGAAACACACACACACAGACAAAGTATTCTCACCACAGTACAGCTGCCACGGGCTAAGAGAGCAGCAGTCGTTTTCCAGTCCTTCCTGCCCCTCTCCATGCCCCTGGCTGCTAACTTCTGTGGGTACTTGTTTCCAAGGAAGGGCCCACCAAGGTCACTTGCATACTTGAGGAGTGGCTTTTCTAGCAATTATCTTAATTTTAATGGACTGCTGCTGTCTCATTTCAAATTTCTTTTGCAGAGACTGGAGGGAAGGGTGTCCAATAAACCAAATACAATACATCTGTGATGTCTACAGCTACTGAAATCAATTCAAACCAAATCCAACCATCTGCCCATCCCCCCATCCAGCCATCCACCCACCCATCTGCTATACATCCATCCTTCACGTGTTTACTGAACACCTGCTACGTCTCTGGTTCTGTGATAAAAGATGTAAAACCGTCAGAGGCAGATCCTGCCCACCCAAAGCTCATATATTACACTTTACGGCTAGAGAAAATAAACCATTAGCAACTCGATAACCTGTCCTGCTAACATCTTCACAAATTCCATCTGGGTGGAAAAGAACATGATGTCACTTTGCTGTAAATACACAGACCCCTTATAGCTGAGACCACACCATCTGTAGCTTTCTCTACATGGTTGTCCAAATGCTTTAAGGAAGCAATACGATTAAACTAATGCCTACACTGTCAGCCTAATGAGCTCCTGGGAGGCCACAGATTTGGTTTACTCAAACGTTTATTGAGCACCTACTATGTGCAGGCCCCATGCTGTGGGGGACAAATATCTAAGGCCTGGTCTCTCCTACAAGGGAACTTGGTAAGGGAGGCTAAGAGGTACATGTCTAGTTAACAACATATGGAATATGGCTGAGTGCTGAAAGACACATGAACAATGGGTTATATGAGTTCAGAGGAGGTAAAAATTCTACTAAGAAGTTTCCCTGGAGCAGGGGGCACTATATTTTTGTGCAAAAGGATATCCAGCATCAAGACAGGTAAACACAGAGGGATGGAGTGAAACTCATTCTGGGTGGACCGAAGCCCACTGCTCTAACACTTGGATCAGCAACACTATACCTGGTGTAGTGTCACGGTTCAAAGACCTGAACTTGAATCCTCGCTCTAATGCTTGCCTAATAAGAATAACTTATAAATGCTAAGGCATGAGTCTAACACGTTACCATATCTTCATCCTACTTTCCCCCAAAAGCTGTGGATTTTGGAGCTGGTTTCACATCAGAAGGTGGGCAGACTTACAGTCAAGTGGAAATGAAACCGTAACACACACTTCAAAGGCAAGAATCAAAGGGGGTGAAATGCAGACAGGAATGTGGACCTGGGGACCTCTGGTCTGGCACTGCTCTGCTGGGGGCCTGGCCCAGCTCCCTTCTAGCTGAGACGCGTTCAGCTCTAGATGTGGACATTCTGAGTCCCTTGTAGCCCTTCTACTCTCCTTCCTGCTGTGGTACCTTCTCTGGTTGGACGTTTTAGTCCAAAGAAATCTGATATTTCTGCTAGTTACTGAATTTGTTTACATGTCCCACACAAGTCCTTCAAAGCATTGGCAGAAACTAAATGAAAAGTAACAGCAGTGAAAGTATTCTGAAACTTCTGGGGAGGCCGTGTGCAGAGAGGAAGGAGAAAACCCCTGTAAAAGGATGAAGACAGAACTGACGGACGTGTTGTAAAGCTTTCTGCAGAGATCAGGGACTCCTGGGACAGAGGCGGCATGCTACTTTGGTACAGGGCATGCCTGGAGCAGACTGACGCCACAGTGGCTTTTAAATAGGTCAACAGGTACAATGACTGAACTTGTCAGCTACATATCACAGAACTGTCAAGCCCTAATTAACTGACATGCTGGAGGAACATGATGTCCTGGTGAATTGAACTGTTTGCTAAACTGGGAAAACCCTTGCTCTTTTAAATCTTTTTGCTGGTAATCTTTGAAGAACACATTTATCCATTTTCCTGTTGTACCAAGGAGAGTATACTGAACATAACTGAATAGCTTATTAAATACTCATGCATTTACTGACGCCTGCCATGTGTCAAGTACCAGGCTGGACAGGTACTAAGGATACAAAGGCAACAGGATGTGGTCCTGAGCTTACTGGGACTCACTGGGTAGCAGCAGGGTAATACTGAGAATTTCAGCACCACAAAGAACTGCAGCTGCAGGCGTAGATCACTGGGCTGAGTGATGTGCACTGATGGCGCCCACTCTACAGAAAGATACACGAAACCCTACCAGGAGTAGAGCTCTACCCTGTCATGATTCTCAACCAGGGATGGGGCAAGTTAGTTTGAAAAATGATGCATTTATTGATCAAATAGTTGTGTTTCATTTCCCTCCATGAAATGTCTCCTTCCAGTGAAATCACTGCTGGGCTACACTGAGCCCAAAACCTAATCCTGTGCGTTCTCTTTCACACACACACACACACGCACGCACGCACGCACACGCCCACACATACACTCAAGTTCTGCCCATGAAGGCCTCCTTCGGTTTTCTTATGAGTCACTTCATCCTGATAAAAGCTATCAAATGCTGAAAAAAATTTCAGTTCAAGATTCTTTTCAACGTGACCACATTTTTCACTTCTAACTGGAACTCTCAGCGCCTAGTTGAAATGTATTCCTGTTTGGAGGAAGAATGCAATGATTCAGAAGGGGTTTGTTCTTCCTGGGAAATGGCTTCAAAGCTTCCTCATCTCTGCTCCAGGACTGCAACCCTCTCCAGTCTCTGCTCAGAGACCACTTTAAGATCAACAACCTTCCTTAAGCTCAACAATGTTTGATTCTGACTGAGGCCCTGGGAGCTGGTGATGGATGGTCTTTGCTATCTCCGCCTGGCATCTGGTCCATGTGATCCTATAGTTTAATCAGGGTGAAACTTTGGATCCCCTTCCCATGGGGCAAGTGGAGAAGCCACCTTGCAAAGCCTGAGCTTCCGTGGTGGGATGTGAGGGCACTAGAAGGAAGTGGAAGGCCATGGCTCCACATCTGGTACCACCCCTCGCCAGCTGCGTGACTGCCTGAGCAGTTTTAACCTCGGAGTCCCAGCTGCCTCATCTACCAAATGGATATAAGGCAGCCAGCTCTGCCTGCCTCGTGCCTTGTTGTCAGATACACAAGGAGATGATGTATGTGAAAGTGGTCGTGTTTAAACACTGTAAAAAGTTATTCAAATGGATTGAGAAGGGGATGTCATTTTCACAAAATTAACTTTAGTCCCTCATGCTCACCACCCCCGTCCCCCAACCCTGCCACTCCTTGGACCCTCAAGACAGGAGGCCTGAAGGATGATGGAGGTGATATTCTTTCAAGCTGTCAAGGCTATAAAATCATGAGCTGCTGAGTGGAACACACAGATCACCACGGGCTCCGTGGAGACAGAGCCTTGTTCTCTCAGTCCGGGGAGGGCACGTGCCTACCTTCTTGCCTTCTCCATATATAAGGGGAAACTTCAAGTCATCATCCTCAATGGTTTTGTATGCCCTGTAGGGGGATAAACAACATTAAAAAAAAAAAGGTTTGCACTCAATTAGTGACCTGCTGCCCTGACACAGGCCGCCAGGTACTTTATTTTCCCTGAGATTCCATCCGGTCACCACACTGCTGATCTCTTTCTGTATAAACAGTCATTCTCCCTACAGATTTGTGTGTGTGTGTGTACACATATTTTAACAAACCAGAAAATACCAAGTCTTTACAGGCTTGAAGAGAGAGAAAATGAGCTGGCATATTCGCAATTAGCGAGCAGGGGTGATAGGTTCCTGTCTTAAGCATTTAGTGTCCATGCAATAATGAAGCTCCCCAGCAGTGGTGGCAGGATTCTTGTCATTAATCTGGAACTGTGAGAAACAGCAGAACTCAGCGATGGATGGGGGGGCGGGGGTGGGGGTGGGGAAACTGCTCCAAGAGCCAGTTCTCACCTTCAGGGGTTGTTTACGCCAAAGCAGCCTGGTACTGGAATGGCTGGAGAAGGAATATTTAGAGCCTGCTTGACCTCAGCCTGATATTCAAGGTTGGCAGAAAATCCTCTGTTTCACGATAGCTATTAAATGGCCATTCGACACACAGAAAGAAAATCTACTTTACGCTTCAGTGGTTTATTCCAGACATGGTTGTCCAGATGCCATGACACACACAGCAGAGGCTGGCCAGGCTATGGTGAGAGAGCAAACGAAGGCCACGTCTTGCGATTTTGCTCACAAGGAAGTTAAAAAACAAACAAGCAAACATGGTACCCAGTTACCAGCTGTATAACCCTGGGCAAGTAGCTCCACCTTTTTGGGTCTACGTTTCCTCATCTGTAAATGAGGATAACCACACAGGATGTGAAGAGCTTAGCACAGAGCCCGGCACTTAGTAAGTACTCAAGAAGTGGTAGCTATCGCTAGTATTTAGTAGAAAGCTAATACGTGGCACACCAGTCCCCCTTTCTGCACAATGGGCACAACACTGCCTATTCAATCCCTCAGAAAAGTGGTAGGAAGATTAAGTAACAGACTGGGTAGTTTCTGCTAGGTTAGAGGCTAGAAGCAAGACGCTTTTCTCAACTAGTATCTCCTGAGTGCATGAAAAAAATTAATTTGTGACGTGCCCCCTGGTCCTGGATATATCTAGGCAGCTTGGAAGTGAAACCCGACATCAAATTTATGAAGGAGCTTGATATACAAAAGAATGCAACCCAACTGAAAAAGGGCTCAACCCCAAAGCTAAAGCAGGCACATCCTTATTTTCCAGGAAGTTATTTGGTTAAGTTCTTTCCCAGAGGGTAGAGGAACAGTGAAGTTTTGGCACTGGACGTGTCTGCGCTTGCGTTTAGCACTGCTTTCTGTATAGCCCTGCGAGAGCGGATAAGCCTCTCTGGACCTCAGTTTCCTCGTTAAGTAGAGAGGCCAAAAATTCCTGGGCTTGTCGTGAGGATAAAAATGGGCTGATGAATGTGACGAGCTTAGGAAGCATTTAGCCCAGTGCCTGGCACATGCTGAGAGCTTGATAAAAGCTAGTTGCTGCTGCTGCTGCCGCCGTCAAGTGGGCCCAGCGGTATGCCATGGATTGAATTTTCGAAAAAAGAACCGTACTATTTCCTTCCCCCAAATCTACCAAACTAACACAAGGTGGAAATAGCTACTTTGATGTTTCTATACTCCCATGAACTATTTAAGACACTGTGGTATCCAAGTCACTTGGGGACCAAACAGAGCTATTATTAGAATACACTCAGCTTGGGGATTGAACGAGTTTGTAGACCAGTGGTTCTCCATCTTGGCTGTATATGGAATCACCTGGGGAGGCTTGAAATATCCTGATGCTCAGGTCACATCCCAGAGCAATTAAATCTGAACTTCTGGGGATGGGACCCAGGTACCAGGGATTTTTTAAAAGCTTCCCAAGTGATTCCAGTGTGCGGCCACGGTTGAGAACCACTACTAGAGACCAAAGTCATTAGCTAACATTCAAATTCAGTTGAGCAATAAGCCCCCTGTCACCTTGACCCTAAAGATGACAGAATACATGGCTCAAGGGAAAGGGGGTAATGGCTTGAGAAAGGCTGTGCAGTGGGCACAAGCAGGGCTTGGGGACCAAAGGGAGGAAGTGTGGAGAGTAAGAAGACAGGTTCAGACAGAGAGGAGGACGCAGTGGGGACGGTCCCCAGGGAGGGACTGGGGCCTGGAGATCCAGGCACAGAGTCTGGAATCACTCGTGAGGCAGAAGGTGGCAGCTCTAGAATCAAGGACTGGAAATTACTTAGAGCTCAGTGGAGACAGGCTACGAGCACTCTTAACAAGCTTGAAAAGGCAGCAAGAAACTGTCCTCTGACTCCACCGTAAGCCCAGGTAATCGAGTTCTCTCAGGGCAGAGAATTTCAGGAGAGTGAAGTCTGTGTCACCACAGCTCTGAAAGGCAAACACTCATCTTGGAGTTGTCATCCACAGGAACAAGACCGCCACGAGTGCTAATATTACATTTTAGCCCCTGTTTCTTCATCTTCAAGAACAACAAAAAAATTGAAAATAGAAAAGACAGCTCTGGAAAAGAAAGGTTTATTCTGTTCCTGCCATTGTTGGTTTTCAATCAAATACGAGCCCCCTCCTCTCCCCTCCCCAACAAATGACCAGGGTGAATAACTACAAATAAAGAGAGAAAGCAGAGCACCCTCCCCTCCGCAGGCTTTCAGAATCTGAAGCACAGCTCATCACGTGACGGTAAGTGGACTTCCCGTAAATAACAAAGAGTAAAATACTCAAGAGTTAAAACTGGTAACGTGATTAAAGACGGTGTAAATCAATGATAGCTAATAATAGTGACCGCAGCTGTAACTTACCGAACACCTTGTACAAGGCCAGACACTGGGCTGGGTATTTGCGTACCACGTCTAAAATCTCTCAAAGACCCTGCAGTGTCCTATCTGACAGATGAGGAGACCGAGGTTACATTACTCTCCCAAGATCGTATCCCGTGTTAGCGGCCCTTAAGCTAAACTCAGACTGTCCCAGAAAACACACCAAAGAAAAGTGATGTCAGGGCTTAGCTCCGCAGGTTTCTCCTTCTAGTTGAAGAGTCTCAAAGGAGACCATTATTGCCCACCTCTCAGTTGGTGAAAAGCAGGCAATGATGGGGAACTTTCGGCAGAAAAGGAAGGGGAATTTTCTGTGTGAGGCAAAAGAGCAAAAGGTGATCATGAGGGGACAAAACCAGCAGCTGTTCCCCAACACAGCCTACAGGGAAGAACACAGGGAAGCTGCGGAAGCCACCGCTTCCCAGGTCATTTTACCTGTGGCCAAGGAGTCCGATGGAGTCCTCTCCCACAGACTGCAGGCCTCCCTCAATCTGTCCTGCAGCTTAAGGGGCCACCTCAGTTTCTGCTGTTCATATTACATCCACAGTCCATGTCTAGGCTGTGGGCTTGAATCTGTACGCTTCCCAAGTGTCCTTGGCTTCCACTCCTCTCCGCTGGGGGAGGTGAGAGGATAAGAGAGGTTGGAAGCTTGAGAGCTCTAAGACATAGATGTACTTAGGGCTTAAGATGAATAGATAAAGTCTATTCCTTCACATCAGATCCTATGGTTTCCGAAATCCTGATTAAATTTTTTTTAAAACTCCCAAAACAGGGAATTCCCTGGCAGTCCAGTGGTTAGGACTCAGCGCTTTCACTGCCGGGGCCCGGGTTTAATCCCTGGTTGGGGAACGAAGATCCTGCGAACCTCACGGTGTGGCCAAAAAACAACACCCCCCTGAAAAAAAACCCTCCCCAAACAGATTACTCACTAGTTTACAATAATATAACTGACCAGAGATCATATTCAAATAATTACTTGTTACAAGAAAGCAAAACTGAAAGGCTTAGGAAAGATATTTAGACTCTCATTTGGGGTCAATTCCTTTATGAATATTTATGAGGGCAACTGACACAAGGATGACATGAGGGAAAAAAAAAAAAATGCAAGGCTTAAAAAGGGCTAAATAAATTAAAGGGCTTTCCCTAACTCCAGGCGGTATCCTCAGAAGTTTCCATTAAACATTTTTAAAAGTAAGTGTAATAGTTTCCCTTGCAGCGTTGATTCTGCAAAGCTGAAAAGACAAGGCACCATTGATCTGGACCCACTGGAAGGAGAAGCTCAGCTCTGGAAGAGACCAGAAGGCCACTAAGTTGGCTGTACCCCAAATGCAGGAATCCCTCCTTCAACACCCCTCACACTGGCCCCGGCCTCTGTCATCGAATGGGCTGCTGTATAGTCTCTGTCCGAGGAACTTTACAGGACTAACTTTGCAGTGCCACTGGAGAACAGCCCCGGGAAATGCTTTTTTAAATGGACCCAGTCCACCCGTTGGCGTGTTGGTCTGTCTTCTGGGAAGACATGAAAGAAATCTAGTCTTTCTTCTACTTCGGAGCTCTGCAAATATTTGAAGAGAGCTATCTCAAAGTTTCCTCTTTCCTAGTCTCATGAACTGTCCTTCACGGGACCTGAGGCACCATCCCTAACCATCCATTCAACCAGTATTTATTAACTGAGCACCAAATACTGTGCGAGGGGCCCTCTCGGAGCCTTCTAGCTTGTCACAGTCCTCAAAGAATGGCACTCAGAACTCAAAACACTTAAGATGTGGTCCACAAAAGGATGAAATGATTACTTCTTTGATTTAGACCTTGCTCTTTTTTAAATTACTGAGGCTTATATTGGCGGTATGTGCAGGTACACGTCTCTGCGTGGTTTAGGGTCATATAATGAAACGATGAGTGAAAACAAACAAACAAAAAACCCAACCAAACAAAAGGCCAGTCAGTCCACAAGAAAAAAGACCTGAGAAGGTTTCTTGACTCATCGTCTTCCTCTAGTTTACACGTACGCAATGAATACTTTACTTTGAGTGGAAAACTCCATTGCCCTTATTATCTTGCTAGTTTCAGTCCATCGTTCCGACCCACCAAGGGACATCTGAATCCATATCCTTTCATCCAAAAAACTCAGCTCTCCTTCTATGCTATG